AACACATTGCTTCAGAAACACCATTGCTCTCTTTGTAGCCAAAGCATGTGGTAATGGTCACACAGGGCTATTTCAGTAGCCAGAGGTTGTGATGGAAGTATCTAACTGTCAAGAGCAAAAAATACTGGATGCAGAGCTCATCTAATTCTTCAGGGACACCCCAGCTATAAACATTTTTCTGATGGAAACAGTTATGTATTGCCTTCTACTCTTCATTATAGTTTTCCCCCTTATCTCACTAAATACTACTCTTCTGAAAAGATATGTGTTATAACCAACAGCTATAACTAAAGGTCAAACCTAATTAGCATACATTATTTTCATCAAAATATAAACAAAATTAAGTCATTACTTAATAAAAACAACAGTTTCTTACACTGATGTCCAGTCAAAGAAGAATCCATACACAGTCTGAATCAAGATAATACTCCTTCAGGCACTTATCAACACAATACAGGCAACACTTCCTACTTAATACTGTGCTAATTTGTTATATATAAATTGGCTATTACAGCTGATACATATGAATGGAGATGAGGGTACAATACCTGTCCAGAGTTAATAAGACAGTTTCATTCATTTCAGGTATATCATCAGCTTTAATAGTAATGTTGATTGTAGTGTCACTTTGTCCAGATAAGAAAACCACAGAGCCATTAAAAGGACTTATGTCGTCATCTGTTACTGCGTTTTGATTGAGACCAGAGGGTTTCAAGCTCCAAAAGACAGTTGCTTGACCGTCAGTCCCATCTCGATGCAATGCAATGGAAACCTACGAAACACGAGTCTGATGTGACTTGTAAAACTAGATGCAAGAACAATTACTCCCTTACAAGTGACTACTGCATATGAGAATTGAAATGTCCACCTTGTTTTTTGGCTCATACCTATGTATAAGAGATGAAATCAAGGATGGTGTACTAACAGAAATATACACCAAATCTTATACTTTTAACCATTTGTTACATACCTAGACAGTGGAGATGACAGATTATTAATATCACAAATCACTAAGCAACCAGAAACAGAAAAAGCCTGGAATGACTGATTTAATAAGTGCCCACCTCATCAAGACACAATTTAGATTTTGAATGTAAACTACCATAATTTCATTCTGGTTGTTACAGTACAGTGCCAACCTGTACTCTGCTTAAGGAAATTAGCAGTTTTAATCTGAGAACTGTTGATTCAGGGTTTGTGGGAAGATTTCAGTGAAAAAAAAATAGGGGGAAAAAAAAAAAAGGAAAATCTATGAAAAAAAAAGCATTTTAAAAAAGGTTTCTCCGTCTGGGACTAAAGCACTTGGATGACAACGTTTTAGAAAATGCTTCTTTGGATTCTTAAAAACCTAACAGGCATAATTGTTGGAAAACACACCCAGCGAGCCAAATTATATGTTCGTATGTATTTCAACTATCACATATACAGACACTTCCATGAAATTTAGAAGCGCTGTCAGTCCTACTTTACATCACTCCCTTTGCAGTTAGTGAGAGAGATTAAAACTGTCTGCAGCATCTTTTGTTCTGTGTGAGCATTAAGACCTAACAGGTTTTAGATGCTTACAGAGAAAGCAAAGACCAATCAATCTCCCTTCTCTGATAATGACTAACACATTATTTCAGACCTTAGTTTTACAATCATGTTTTTGCCCTTTGTCTTTTTTTTTTTTTTTTTAAAGCAGAGGAATATTTGGGATCAGGCAGATCCCAAAGAGGAAGGATTTTCCACACATTAACGTTCAAATGTTACACTGAATATAGCAAACTTTGCCTTCTCGAAATACATTTTCTATACTAAGGGACAAGATTAAAAGGTTTACTTACCACTGTAAAGGGGGAATCTTCTGGCTCAGAAATAATAATTGGAAGATTGCTAGTAAAGCCTATTTCTCCATTTGCAATATCTGGAGTAATCCTCAAAGAAATATTTCGAATCTCGCCTAATCTAGGACTCAGAGGTGGGACTAGAGGAATCCTATTCACCAGCTCAACTTTTTCCAGCTGTAAGAAAAAGTAAAGAAAAATTTGAGAAACAAGAAGCCTTAGTACCAAGTCAGAACAATTCTGACATTTCAGTATAAATTTCATATCCAGGGAGCAAAACATGTCCAGAACAAATTTCTCTCACTGGCAGCACTGCTGTTAACAAACAGGTGTAAGTAGATGTGACAAAGAAATGAAATGGCTATCGCCGAGCTTTGTCAGTAGAATGGAATACCTCTCAGACAAATCACATTCATGTACACAACTAAATGCACGTAGAGGGAGAAAGAACCTCCCAGATCAGCTGATTTATTACTAGACCTATGAATAGCAGTACTGATTTGACAAATGGCCCAAGCTATTGTCCCAACTTCATTTTTTGTGCCATGCATTGATAAAAATCTGCTTGAAGTCTCTGGAGCCATAACAATGTACAGCCTCTAATGAAACAAAAGAATGATTCAATCTTCCTTCCTCTCTCATACAACTTTAAGGAGTTCTCTATTTATAATAACTAATATATTAGAATTGAATTCAGAATTGAAAATCAGTACAGTGTTTCAAAACTGTAGTCTACTCTCGTGTTACCATTTTTCCAATTC